AATGTATTGGTACAATTTAGATGTACATACTGATCATGTGAATCATAGGGAGTTTCTGCTTTACATGGTGTATACTGATTCTTCTTTTTTTCTCCAATCCCCTCTCTTCCTTTCAACCCCTTCCCCTCCTTATTTACAAGACTTTGTTTCTATTTTATCCTTCTTTTATCTTTTTTCTTTTCCCTTCCTTTTCTCTCCCCTTTGCTCCTCTTTCCTTTTGAATGACATTTTCCTACTTCACAATATTTATAGCACATTTTAGTCCTTATTTGCTCTTTCAGTTTCTCACACCAGGGACACAATGTAATATTTACACATGTGTGTCTGATTTATTTCACTTAAAAGTATGGTCTCAAGGGGCATCTATTTACCTAGAAATGTCTCAAGTGTATTGATCTTTATGGCTGAGTAGTACTTCATTGTATGAAAAAAAACCCCAACATCTCTTTTGTTTATCCATTGGTTGATGGTTATTTGGGTTGTTTCTAAGATTTAGCTATTAAAAACTGTGCTGCTATAAATACAGGTGCACATATATTTTTGTATCATGTTTTTAATTTTCCAGGAAGATATCCAGAAAGGGAAAATAGGACCTCTAATTACAGCTTTTGAGGAATACCCACACTCATTTCCATGGTGGTTGCACCAATCTACACTTCTACCAACATTGGAACAGTTTCTTTTTCCCCACAGTCCCTCCAGCATTTTGTATTGGTTTCATTCTTGATGACAGCCATTCTTTCTGGAGTGAGATGGAATCTCAATGTTGTTTTAATTTACATCTCTCAAATGAGCAGTGATGTGGAACATTTTTCTCATATATTTATTTGTTATTTGTATTTTTTCATCTGAGAAGTGTGTATTCACAGAGGATTTGAAAAGGCCTGAGTAATGTCACTTAACCCTCCCTAAAAATTTCAACTATTGGTGGATGATTTTGCTACAAGAGTGCACTGATTAAGACAAATGTAAAAAGATCCACCACCAGCAATATAATACTATCAATTCAAATTGTATTCTTTAATGGGTCTTTATTATGGGTATTATTAGAAGTTGCAAATTTTAGCCTATAATGTTGCATCTGTAGGAATTTTCAATCTCTCAAGAAATACGCCGGTAGAAAATGATACTTTATAATAGTTATTATGTTTAGGAAAATATAACATGATTAACTAAGGCAGAGTGTGAAAAATGCTATACCATGAGGCTCCCCCACAAGGCTTGACTCCTGATCAGTGGGAACTGGGTAGTAAACCCTGAGCATTGATATATTGACATTGTTTTAGAGAAATGATGATAAAATATTTTGAAAAATTTTGCTGCTTTATTGTAGGTCTGAAATTTTCTACTATTTTATAACTAAATGGGACCTAGAGTAATTTTGTAAGGTATTGAGGTTTAATAAATGCATGTGATCAATGCTTTTATTACCTGATATCATATGATTAGCCTGAACCAAGTGGGGGATCTGGAATAGAAAATTCTAAAGCACATTTTATGCATTAAAAATGTCTGCAAGAGGAAGATAAGTGCTTTTGCTTAAAAACTCTGGGTACATGACATTCTTTTGATAGATACCGTCTCATGCTTCGTAACTTATCTTTCTGCCCAACACTTTTTAAGCACCATTTTGTTAGCTAAGGAAGTCCAGAGGCAGAATAGCTTTGAAATCTTTCTTTTCTTTGCTCTAGCACTCAAATCTATCAGCCCAAGTTATTGGCTTACTTGATAAATTAAGAATTTGTACGTGAAATCAAACAAGCTCACAAAATGTGCAGTGTGATACAAATATAGAGTAAATGTTGACACTTAAAAAGCTATTGCAATTAAAGACACATTTTCATTAATGCCCCTCAAAATAACACAACCTCACATTGTACTCACTTCTCTTATTGTACACTTTCTGAAGCAATTATTGATGTCTTTTTTCCATAAATGACTTTATGAGATAACTGATCAAAAATATAGTAAATGCTACTGTGAAATTTTATCAAAAAATAGAGCCTTATATAAATATTGTGGTATGTCTTTATCTGTCTTATTCATGAGATCTAGTACCAGGTTCAAGTCATGGCATCTAGGAAGCAGAGAGAGATAAGGCAGAAGTGTTGGAGGGAGATATTCCCTTCCAGGCCATGCCCCTAGAGACTCACCTCTTCCTACCAGACCCAAGTTCTAACACTAAGTTAGCTATACCATCCCATAATCCAATCACCTTCTAAAACCCCACCTATGAGTATATGAGGCTCTTGGGGGGCCATCTGGGTCTAAACCATAACAATATCATTTTAGTATATGCTTTTTATAGGTTCACATTATTTCCTTCTATTTCTGTTAAATATCTTATATGTGAAATATTTTTGTGTGCTAGGTAAAACCATGGGTAATTTTTTGAATATGTTTGAATTACTCTCCTATTATTGTCACTGTGAGTTACAACGTTCAACTTTATCACAACTATTTCTAGCTAAATAATATTAAAGTACAGCAACCTCGTTACACACAGACTCTGTGTTTTTCTGCTTCTTTCACCCACCAGTGAGATACATTTTATATTGATACACAGAATAAACACAACTTAAGAGAAAAGTCAATACAGTGCATAAATAAGCAGCTTGAATCTAAGAGAAAGTAAAAGATAAACCAAAAAAACAGTAGTTATAAGAATATCAGATGTGGGGCTGGGGATTTAGCTCAGCGGCAAAAGCGCCTGCCTGGCAAGCACAAGGTCGTGAGTTCGGTTCCCGGTACTGGAGAAAAACCAAAAAAAAAAAAAGAATATCAGATGCATTTAGTAGTATCAAACAAAATACACTTTTAAATAACATATTTAAAGACAGGACATCTAAACAATCTTTCATGAAATGAACATAACTTACCATTTTAATGCTCCTCATTCCTTCCTGTGTATTTCAATTACCTTGTCCTATAATTTCCATTCAGCTTAAAGGACTTTGGCATTATTTGAAGTATAGTTTTACAAACATCTATATCTTTTTGTTGACTCAATTAGCCTTCATTTTGAAGGACAGTTCTTCTAAATTTTAGCAAAAAAAAAATTTGCTTGAGCATAAATTTATTTGTAGAACTATGTATATCTATTGCTGCTACATTCTGGCCTCCAATATTTTTGATGAAAATCCAGAGCTATGCCTCATAAATTAATGTTTAATCTCTTTTTAAAGGACTACAATATGAAGTAACTTGTAACAAACATTTTAAAATATTTTATTTCATAAGCTATTATGATTTCAAAATTATTTTGATGATTTCATTATTGAAATGAAGAAATAAGTCTGACATGGCAGAGCATGCCTGTAATACCAGCGCATACCTGAAATCCCAGAAGCTGGGAGTCCAAAGCAGGAAGATCACTGGGACTTCAAGGCCAGCCTGGGCTATCTAGTGAGTTTAACGGCAGCCTGCAACACAAAGTGAGACCCTTTCTCAAAGAAACAGAATATGTCAAAGTGATTTTTAAAAAATTATACAAAGTCAACTAACTTCAAAGAGAATATTTAAAACTAAGGTTTCATTTCCAAAACCTTTCTTATCTACACTCATAATTAGGAGTAGAAATCTCAGGGAAGTAATTGTGTCCTTGACATTTCATATTTTAATTTTAGTGGTTTTCACTTAAGTTACTGTACCATAATTTCTGTCTATACTTCTGCACTGAGGAGATTATAACTAACTTTTTTATCCTGTCTTACACAGTTTCATAATTGTAGCCACTATAAGTATAGTTATAACTAATTACCACAGCAATTACAAACATTATCATGTGTAAAAACTTGGCTTAAATCCAAACTAAGATATAGCTTTTAGTAACTGAAGTGAGAGTATAATGCAATAAACTTAAAACCTGCCTGTTTTTATAGCTCATAATTATGAAATATGAAAAATAAAAATTAGAATACTGCTTAGAATTGGCAAATAAATTGATGGTTGTTTCCTTGGGCAGAAATCACACAGATATATTTTATCTTTCTTAAAATAGAAAATCTACAGAAAGATATGTGATGATAAATCTGGCAGGAAAGAAAGTCAAAAATCACTATGAGGTCGTATTTTAATCTGTTCTTTTCCAGTTTTGTACACTAACCTGGCCTTACTCACTTGAAGAAATGGTTAGCGTTAAGTGTCTAGCAGAAATAAGTCAGAATAGAGAAAAGAGCTATGGTAGGAAATACAATAAGGTATCAACAGCATCATTCTCAGCCATGTAAGAATGTGATCAATTATTTCATCTTTGTACACACACACACACACACACACACACACACTTTACAAATCCAAGTCATTGTGAAATAAAATTGCTCTAAAAGCTCTCTATGTAACGCCTTAGTTACTTAAATTATTCTGTATGTATCCAATACTTAAACTTCTATGAAACTTGGACAAACTATTTAACATTTTCAAACTAATTTTACACAATTAAGAGAAAAGGTTATAATCGATCTGATAGGTCTATTGTTTACAGTTATTAAGATTACATATGTAAAGCAACATAATGTCTGGATTTTAGAGTAGACAATTAATGAATATTCACTATTAATCTTCCTTTTATTGTCGTTACTACTTTCATAATTCCTCTCTCAAAAATTATTATCACTAACAATTAACGTTTCTTTTTCTTGAGTGATAATGTAAATTCTGTAAATTTAGAGATAATAGTTATTTTTTACACTCTAAACACTTTAAGAACATACTCATTTTTTCTTCTGTTTACTGTGATGAACTTTAATGTAACAAAGATCCTGTATGTTTTTTACATATAACTTTGATAGCCTTAAAGAATTTTTTCCATACTGTTGATTAACACAGGTTTGCGTCAAGAAACAAAGATAAGCATATAACGGTCAACAGAGCTTGCTTAGGACTTTAAACTTTGCCTTATAATGAATGTGATTATTGTTGGATAACCAATAAAATTCTAAGCTTACACTGTCAGTCCTATAAGGAAGTGAGCAATTTCCAATTCTAAAGAGAAAGTAAACCTTTCGGGTGTGACTAGAGCACACATAACTAGGAAGTTTACTTTTCATGCTCTGAAGACAGAGAAGTACAGGAATTACAGCATGGGAAGAAAGTCACTGTGTCTTCTGATTGCGGTGGTCTTTACAGCATATTATATTCGTAAGACTATCCCAGATAATTTTGAGGAGCCATGGAGACTAATGTGGTACAACACATATCTGAAAATGTTTGTAAATTTGGTAAGTGTGGAATTTTATGAATTCAGATTTGCATGGGATTTTATGAATTCTGACTTTCACACGATGTGAAGTTGTATTTCTAGGATTTTCTATGTTTTTTACATGTACCTTTGATGGACTTAAAAGATTTTTCATTTATTGACATTTCATTTATTTATTTAAAGTAAGTGTCATGGCTTTTGATTTCAGTATTTAATACTTAGAAATGTGGTTTTTTAGCTTTTGTTAAGTTCTGTTAAGCTAAAGCTTCTTTAGCTTCCTCTGTTAAGTCTTTAGAAATGTGGGCTTTTTAGCTTGATTTCTATTTTATATTAGAATTATAAATGAGCAGCCATTTTTGCAGATTGAATGAATGAATTGCTTTGTTTAGACAGTATTAATATGATCATCTTTTGTAATTATTATCTCATGTGCTGGTTGACATTTAAATTCTGCAAATAATCTGGAGATCATCCTACTCTGAAGCAGTTAGAAATAGGTTTTTATGCAGTCTTTCATAGGTTTTAGAGTATATAATAAGGTCAAGTCCGCAATTTTCAAGGAAAAACTGTGAAGGCAGCATTATTGGCACACGCTCAGGGTTACCCAAGAGAGGCAAAATATGCGGAAGTAGGAGAGGACACTCTGCTGTGTCATGGGAGCTGGCTGCTTCCCAGAGCAGCTCTGGCACAAACAGGAAACGTGTAGTCATCTCTGGCACCTTTGAAATGTTCCCGCATTTTTTCCTTCAGTGTTTCAGTCACCTCATTTTTAAAATTCACTTTTCAGATTTTAAACTAGTAGACATAATTTCTTTTATTTCTCATCTATTTAACTCTTCAATTCTTTGTAAAATCTCACTAGGCAAACAAGGGATCCCAGCAGTAGATATTTTAGTGGGGTGGGAGATAATAAATTAGAATTAAAGGAATTGATGATTTTAGATGATAAGAAGTGATTTGAAGGAAATAAAACAGTTAAGAAGAGACTAACATGGGCCAATAGTATAGACAGGGCTAGTGCGTTTAAGACTGGAGGAAACTGTAAAGAAGAAACATGCTTATAAACAAGGAGGATGAAAAAATTCTATCAGTACTCTTAATACTGAGGAAAATATCTCCAGCATAGATAGGAACAAATTCAAAACCCCTAGCTACCCAATATTGGCAAGTTCAAGAAATAACATAAAATGCTTGCAGTTGATGGGACTATAGTGGCAATTTAATTTGAAAAGGTAAGATGCCATATCATAGAGTGTGCTTTGTTGCCAGAGATAGTATGTTTTGATTTAATTCTGTATGTAATATGCTATCAAGTGTTTTAAGAAGTGGCTTTATTTTTCTAATACTTGCTGTATTTGCCTTTTAGTTTGGGAGATATCTTAGGTTTTTTTGTTATTTGACTCTAGTTATTAATTGCTTTCATTATTCACTTAAGTCATACCTCTGTTTACCTGTGAGGTTTTTCTCCTCTGTTAAGACTTTAGTTATGTGTTTTGCCTTCTAATCTTGGTTTATACATATATTTCAGGATTCTCAAAGCATATACACTTTAAAAGTAATTTTAATGCGTTTTTATTCCTGAAGTACTTATTTTTTGTTTATTGTATTCAGTTACTTCCTTAACCCTTTGGGCTTTTTCTGATTGGTTTGGCTACCTTCAAATCCATGTCAGCAATTCTTATTGAAGAATTATACTACAAATGAAGAATCAAAGTCCAGAATCAATAGATTTATAATGTAAATTATTATTGGATGTACAATATCAGTAAATATCACTTTCTAGCTGTGTAAACTTTGACTACCTACCTTTTTTGGTTCCTCTTCCTTATCTCTCAGAGGATAATGGTGACATCATCTATCTCAGATAGAGCCAGAGTAACTTTACTGAGTCTGGTGCACACGGAGTGCTTGGCCAGCTGTCTAATTCTTGGGCAGTTCTGGCTGTAGGCAGGCAGGCTGGCTCTCCCCTTCTCTTGCATTCATCCTTTCACTCTCCAAATAGTCTCCCTTTATGTGTCTACTTCTGTAGCCACACTTCCTACATTAGCAAGGTTCCCCAGGTCTTCAAAATACAATGGGACCTTTGCACAGAATGATTTTTTTCCTTTACATAGTTGTTGATTTATATTGTTAAGAGAAGATCCTCCTTTTAAGTATCAGATAAATGTACTTCCAGTTTGCAAACTGTTTCCCAAGTAGCATTACTAGCACCTGCCAGATACTGTCAAAGAATTGGGTGCTGATCTCTTGTAGCAACTACATTATTTTTTAACAGTTAACCTGTATTTCACCTTTCAGTTAGAGGTTCCTGAGGAAAGATTTGCCTTGTTCACCTCTAGACCTCTCAAGATGAGGAGGCACCTGACAATTTTGTGATATAATGATTAAATGAGTACATTTCCTTGTTTAAAAATAACAATTACTGCAGACATAAGCACTGCATTTCTGCTTCTTCCGAAAAGACAAAGGAGAGTCTTCTGTAAGAATGCGATTCATTCCATTTGAGTGAATAAAGATTGATATGTACTTAAATACTCAAAAATCTCTTCAAATTTGTATTTTGAAATATAAAGTTGTGTATAAATTTCACTTTTAGGGTACATTTCTGGAATTTCTGGGGCTTTATAATTTTTTGGATTTACTGGCGGAAATTATAGCATTAAATGAAGTTCCTCCAACTTCAGATGAAAATATCACAGTAGTTGAGACAAAATTTGACCATACTCCCGTCCGTGTATATGTGCCAAAGAAGAAGGCAGAGGCACTAAGGAGAGCTGTAGTTTTTATACATGGTGGTGGCTTCTGTTGTGGAAGTGCTGGTAAGTAATTGCTTTGAAAAATCTCTGCCACTGAAGCAGTTTGCAAAGATTTTCCTGATGGCTTTGTATAGAACTTTTCAGCAGAGACACTACAGGCTCTTTTCTATTCTTGTGCTTTGATCTCTTGCATAGTTTTATTTTGCCTTGAAGCTCTAAATCACTCTTTCTCACTTTATTTTGTGCCTGGAAATCTTTCAGGAACTTTAGAGAGGTCCTGGAGACCTTGGAACACACAAAATTCTTCTTGATGTTTAAATTCAAATGAAGACAATAGCTAATCAATTAATATATAAGTACATAATATACTGTATTATAAAGTGATAGATGTAGGAAATAGTAGACCAAACTAATGGAGATGGGGTGAAAATAGCAAAATTCTAGGTATCTAGAGAATTAGAGAAGAAATTGGAATGTATTTAAAAGTGAGTGTAATGGGGAAAAGATCTCTCTTGTGACTAAGAGAATAACATTCTTTTTTGTTCCACAGTACTTAACTTTCAGTGAGTAGAATCTGCATTAAGGAGTTGGGTAGGAATTACATGGGGTCTAAGGTAAGAGTTCTAAATGCCACGTGAAGAATAACTCAGAGAAGAAATATTGTACCAAAATGCATTAATTGATGTGACAAGTCTGGAAAGCTGAAGGGGATTGGGGAGGGAAGAAGACAGGGAAGGAGAGAAAAAGATTTCTAACATGAGATGATCATACTGTTTCATAACAGATGGCGTACTTACAGGGAGGGTGAGGATAGGTCCCTGGAAAACACAAACATAAGTATCAGGTGGAGCCATAGGCAACAACAAAGCATTAAGAAGTGATCAAAGAGGTCATAAAACAAAAAAGGAAACAAACCAAAAAGAAAGACTAATGAGAAGTTCTGGGCGGTATAAAGTTGCCAAGTAAGTAGGCTGGAAATAGGTCTTTTGGATGCTGAACATTTTACGTTAATAGTGCTGAGTACAAGGCTTGATAGATATTTAAATAGAGACACATTCCAACAAGCAAAAGTAAGAAGGCTATGGGAGGAATGTTTCCTGGCCTTAAAGGGATTTAGGTATAAAAGGAAAAAGTAAGAGAAAGGTAAGATTAAATGAAGAGTTAAGCAAAAGCATTTTATTCTCTTTTTGTGCCAGAGAGATATGAACGGTTTCGTGGACTAAAAATAAATTATATGATTAACAGCAGTAGATTAGAAGAGAGATGACTGGGAATGCTGACCTGTCCAGGGACAATTATCATAGAAGGAATAAGATGGAAGAAGAGTTAAGTCGCTGGTAAAATAAGTGGGTATGGATTGAGAGATAGATATGGATAAGAGGAGCATCTAATTTTATCCCTAGACAAGAATAAAGGAGAAAAACACACTCAGCAAAATATACTTTTAGAAGAATAAGACAGGTAAAAGCGTCAGATAAGAGAATTCCAGATTTTTAATGGGGCCTGGTTCTATTCCCCTTCGATTTGGATGATCGTCCTTCTGTCCCTCTCGATGGTAGGTCTCCTATGTTAGCATTATTCTGCTTTTGTGTCCTTGGTGCACTTATCCAATGGCACATTCTTTATGTTGGTGACTTGCCTTTTTAAGCAGTGTGTATCCATCTCATAAAGCAATCAAATTAATCTGTCTACCTGTGAGAGACTTGGATGTGGTCTTCCAGAGAAGGAAGTTCGCTAAGAAAGTCCAATGACAAAGCATGCACAAGAGGTGTGAAGCATGAAGAGCAATTAGAAGGTTCAGGGGAATGCTGAATTCCACTGAGTTGTGGATGAGTAGTTTCTTATTTAAGTACAGTGGTAAATTCTCTCCCTCTTATTTTAATATGCAACACATGAAGAAGTCTTAGAACGTAAACAAGTGTAACAATTTTTTCAAGGTAACATCCTTCCTTTCATTTGTCCATTGTCACTAATATCCTGATTTTATTCCTTTCATTTCAGCTTTACATAATTATGATCTCCTCTCCAGATGGACAGCAGAGAGACTTGATGCTGTTGTTGTATCAAGCAAGTAAGATCTCTACTGTTCTGTTTTAGGTCCAGATGCTTGCCTATCCTGATTCTGTCATCTTTCTTGAGTAGCTGAGGTGCAATTATGCCCAAAATAAATGTTTCTCTCTGTGTACTGAGGGGACAATTTAAAAAGAGTGCTAACCTACCCTGAATAGCATTTAGAGAAAAAAAAGTGTGTGTGTGTGTGTGTGTGTGTGTATGCATGTGTGTGTTATAAGCCAGTTCTAAAATTATAAAAAATTTCTCTCACAAGATTAAATTCCATTACCCATGGACATAGTTACTTGCATTGGATTAGGTTTCCACTTTCAGTCATGGTCTTTAAGAATAAGTTTATCAGAATCAGTGCATTATCAATAAAAGCACATTATAAATGATCCATATCTCAGATTATCACTGAAAAAGATACCAACCAAGTTAATGAGTTAATATAAAATAGAGTAGTAGATTTAATGATCCAGCTTTGAAAAGAGCTCCAGAAGAGCGCAAAATTGGAGTAACTTGATTGACTCGTATGAGAGCATCAAGTAGTTATTCAAACTTCAGAAAATGAAGGAAAATTTAAGAACACATTTGTGATCATTCATCTAGTTAAATAATTGTTGTAAAGTTAAGACATATTCATGCTTAATTCTTATTTATAAGTGTTCACAAAGGAGAGTAATTACAAAATTATTAAAAAGTAATTAGGATAAGGTTGCACACTATATTTTGTACTTTATAAAAATGGTTTTCTCAATGACAGCAAGTTCAGTGACACTGTAAGACATCTGTCTGTTTTATTTATTGAAGCAAAAATCACGATGATTTCAGTGATAAAGTTTTAAATACTCATGCAAGTTCATGACTTACTTTTGAATATACATTGACATTAAAGGTAAGTGACAATTTTCTCACCAAAAACATAATTTTATTTCTACTATAATTTAAATGGCCAGTAAACACAGCAAATTTTGTTAAATATCTTTTGTCATTTGAGAAATAAGTATCATATGCATAAGGAAATAGCACTTCACACCCACAGGCATGGCTATAATAAAAGTTCAGGTTAAAAAAATGTCACCATATAGAAAAAATGAATCCCTCTGTACTGCTGGTGGAACTGTAAAATGATGCTGCTGCTTTGGGAAATAGTTTGGCAGTTCCTGGAAAGGTTAAAAACAGAATTACCATATTACCTTGGCTTTTCTATCTAGGTGTAGCCATGAGGGAATGAAAATAAATCCATATAGGGAATTATATTTTCATAGTAGATTATTCATGAAACCCCCAAAGAGGAAACAACCAAATGTCCATCAACTGATATATGGATAAATAAAATGTAGTGTATCCACACAATGCAATGTTACTTGTCATTAAAAGGTAATGCTATAACATGAATAAAATTTGAAAATATTTTAAGTAAAAGAAGCAAGTCAGAAAAGTCCATCAAAGACCAGGTGTGGTGATGCACACTTGTAATCCCAGCACTCGGGAGGCGCAGGCAGGAGGATTGTTGCCAGTTCGAGGCCAGCCTGGGCTACAAAGTGAGCTCAAGGCCAACCTGAATTGCATAGCGAGACCCTGTCTCAAGAAGACAAAAAAAAAAAAAAAGGAAAGGTCATCAAATACATTATTTCATTTTTTAAATGCCCTGTCTAGGCAAATTCTAAAAGGCAGAAAAAGTGTGATTTCCTGTGGATAGAGTGGGGGGTGGGGAGAGAAAATATAGAATGTGAATACCAATATGCATAGGTCTGTTTTTTTATTTTTTCCTTTCCTTGTTTGTGATAAAGATGTTCTAAAATTGACTGTGATGATTGGTGCACAAGTCTTTGAATACATTAAACTCACAATATAAATTGCATACTCCAAGTAAATTTTATGAAATATGATTTATATTTCAATAAAGTGACTTATAAAAATTAAAGCATTAATATATGCATAGGTATATGAATGCTAAAATATATGTATTTTTCTTATGCAAAATATATAAACACTTATAAATTAATTTAAATTTAAGAAAAAGGCTTGAAAAGAAATGTAAAAGAATATCCAAATTCTCAAATACACAAAATGTTAACATAAGTGAGGGGAATATAAATTAATGATATTATGCAGCTCCTCCATACTTTACATTATGGCTAAAATGAAAAAGTCATAAAACACCAAGTGTTGGGAATAACAGGCACCACCATTTCATAAACTAATTGTTTAAAAATAACTGGGTATACTATTTTTTGGCAATATGAAGTAAAGCTATTCATGGAACTTTGTAATCATCAGTTCCACAGGTATATAACAACAGAAATACATGTGTTCACCGAATGCTAGCTACTAGAATATCCACAGCAGCACTGGTTTTGAAAGTCTAAAATGCAAACCCAAATCCCCCTAGCATCTGTAAGCTGGAAAATATTTATTTATTTACTCATTAATTATTTAGTCGTGTTGAGTATTAACATAAGCTTCATTCGCAACAGATTTTTAAATGCACAGTACATTATTGTTGACTATACACATGATGTTATATGACAAATCTGTACAGTTTATTTATATTATTGACTGAATCTTTTGAGTAACTCTATTTCTCCCTCTCGACAGCTCTTGGAAATCAGCATTTTACTCTGAGTCTCTGTCTTGGCCATTTTAGATATCACGTATAAGAGGATTCACATAATGCTTGACTTTCTGTGGCTACCCCATCAGCATGTAATTGGATAAGTGAGTTGTGGTGTTCTCACATAGCAGAGTATGATGCAGGGCACAAAAGTACACAACAATGTGTATGAGGCTCAGAAACAATGCTGAACAATAAAATCCAGTATAGCTGTACATTCTATTTCAGTGCATTTATTTTAAAGGCAAAAACAAGCAAGATTAATCACTGCTGTTATGTCAGTTACAGGACATGCAATCACTAAATAGAAGACTTCTGGGTGCTGGAAGTATTGAGTTTCAAGACCTAGGTTATATTGCTATGTGCAGTTTGAATTCAAGAACCTGTGCACTTAAAATATGTTCATTTCTGACATGTATGTTATATTTTAATTAATTTATTAAATGTGACATGAAAACCATCTTTTCTCTCCAAAGCTATAGATTAACACCGAAGTATCATTTCCCAACCCAGTTTGAAGATGTGTATAATGCCTTAAGGTGGTTCTTAAGCAAAAACGTTCTTGAAAGCTATGGCATAGACCCTGAAAGAGTCTGTGTTTCTGGAGACAGCGCAGGTGGAAATTTAGCTGCAGCAGTGACTCAGCAGGTAGGACACTCCTCATTTCTATGGGGTTTTTGCTAGGCTACTCATAAACAGATTCAAATACATATACGTAAATATAATGGAAGAATTTATAAATATTACAGAGAATATTTTAAAAATTCTTGACACATCACAATGTCAATTTTTATTCATGTCACAAAATTTTTCTTAATGTAGCAGCAAATCTCTGTTTAGATCACTGGGTAAGACTATTATATGTGTCAGTAAGATGTTATCATAGATGAATGAGACAGAAGGAGATCAGAAAATTAACATTTAACCCTTTAGAAACTCAAAGGCATTGAATAACCTTAAATGGAGTACTCTTCTAATACCAGAATAATCACAGTGCTTTTTGGAAATTATCAGCACATTCAAAGGGTTTGTGCTACTTACAAAGAAGAAATACCAAGATTTCAAAACATTTATTTGTATATGTATGTAAAATCAGATTTACCTGTTACTAAACAATGGTAGTAAAGTGATAATGATAAATAGCATTTTGCATCCCAGATTACACATAGAATGGATTCAATTTTATGACAAAAAAAACATGTTATTGTTAAAATATCAACCATTTTTTCATGTAGTAGTGGAGGGGAAGTTGCTTACTGCTTATAAATGAAAAGGTTTAGATTTTTTTAGTTGATTAAGTATAATTGGATATAATGAAATATAATTTCTGGTATTTTCTATTTTAGGTATATTCATTTATACTTGTAGATAAAAAATAATTTAGCATATAGCATATATTTGACATTTCAGAATAAAAGAATGTCACTTTTGAGCTTTGCTCTAAGCAAAATATACAATGAATACTGAAATTTGGAAAAAATTTCTAATCACTATTTCAGTTCTGTAATGCATTTGAAAAATCACTATATTGGATATTAAGGACTTGAATTTTCTTAAGATGGAGTCATTTTCAGATGTTATCTTGACCAGTTCATTTAATCTCTTTAAGCATCGATTTCCTCCTCTGTAAGGAAAAAATGAATCTTTTCAACCCCACAGTCTTGTTCTGAGGGTCACATAACCAAAGTTAATTTAAAAATACCTTGTGACTTATAATAATCTTCATAAGTAGTCTCCAAAATGGTCTATTTTAAACATAATCTTTAAAATGTAAACAGTATAATTTAATACATATATTCAATATCTATTTTTATTTACATGTTACATATATATTTTTATAATGTAGTACACAATTTCAAAATTATAAACATACCTTTAAAAGGGTATTTTTTGTAAAATTAAAAAACATTTAAAAAGTCTTTTAGTGGATCCCTTTTTGTTTTCCTTATAATTGTACATTCCTGTTTTCTGACCTCTTATCTTTACAACTATTGGCACATTAAGACTGAAACCAAAGAACACTGTTAGTGGAATGCTTCCCACAGAACACCTTCCATGTCTTCTAAATTAGCATTGGTGAAGCCAGAAGTCCTTATTAAGTAAACATTTTTCATGGCAAAAGCTGTTGATGTACTAGTATATTTACAAAAGAAAAACTTTTATATTAACCAAAAATTAATGAAGTCAGTTTACAGAAGTCTTCAGGATTTCAACCTTGGAAGCAACAATAGGACACTAAGTAATTGTTGCTTAGAGCTTCTTGCATTTTCTGCAAAGAATGTCTGATAGATAATTTTCCTTAAGTTGAAAATATACCTTACATAAGAAATATTTAGCTCTAGGAACCCACTTTGAATATTTTGTTGAGATGATATGTTGGATTTATTATTTGAGGATGTTTTAGATTATAGATTTATATACAAAACAGGCCATTACATTTGTTTTATCATTTATAAATGAAAATAATTTATGTAAATCATCTCAATTCTTTCTTAGCAATTACATGACCCAGATGTGAAGATCAAACTGAAGATGCAGTCTTTAATTTATCCTGCACTTCAGGCTCTTGACTTAGATTCTCCATCATACAGAGAATATTCACATATGCCAGCTCTGTCGAAATCACGGTTGGTCCGGCTTATGAGTGAATATATTACAACAGACAGATCACTTGAGAAAGCCATGCTTTCCAACCAGTATGTGCCCGAAGAATCAAGTCATCTCCTCAAGTTTGTTAACTGGAGTACCTTGCTCCCTGAGAGATTTAGAAAAGGACATGTTTATAAAAACCCAATTTATGGTAGTTCTGAGTTATTACAAAAATATCCTGGGTTCCTGGATGTGAGGGCAGCTCCTCTGTTAGCAGATGACAGCAGGTTGCGTGGTTTACCCCTGACCTATGTCCTCACTTGTCAGTATGATGTCTTAAGGGATGATGGACTCATGTATGTCACCAGACTTCGGAACGCTGGAGTTCAAGTGACCCATAACCATGTGGAGGATGGATTCCATGGAGCATTTGCCCTTCTGAAATTTAAAATTGGTTATAGACTGATAGATGAGTACATTAATTGGCTGAAAGAAAATCTATAGTGAAATGTATACTGATATAGTTTAAAAATATTGTCAATCTCAAAGCTGCTGAAAACCCATATTAGAAATTGATCTTTCTTGGAATGGTCAACTGAAGGTCCACATACAGCATGATAATTTTTCTTTCTCAAAAAGTTTTGTTTTGTTTCTTATACTTGGGGTTTCATGCAACATTTCACAATGTGAATGTGCTATTTCTGAAAATTTTAATATTATATTGTTAATCTTATTTTTAATATATTTTGCTGTTTACTCTTTTCTGTGGTCAAACTCTCTTCTACTCTTTGAAATTACAGGAGGAAAAACATGAGAAAGTATTGTTGGTCTGAGTAATGTTGAGATTTGTGTCGATATGTGTTTGGGGCTTGGAGCATTCCTATACATTCGAGTACAAATTTTTTCAAAAGCAGGTTTGCCGGTACAATGTCCAATTTATCTACTTTGAAACATTTCTAGAATCCTGATACCAAGTGTTCTACTATCAGTGTGGATGATTACTGTAGCACTTTGAGGAGCTGGCTGCTGTGCATTTGGGGGAAGGTAGAGTAATTGAGGTTCAGTAAAGATGAACAAGTTCTTCAAGACAAGCAATGACTTAGTGACAACCAAAGGCTATATACATAAGTAGACAGAAACCAATGAAAAATCATAGAAACTGACCTGTGAAAAGTCCTGACATGGCGTGGAGGAAGGTAAGATAAAATGGACTGAGCTGTAGTTTGGGCAGAAATATTTGTATTAACCATGAACTAAGTCATGCATCATCATCAGAAGTGAGCAATGGACAGGCATCTTAGGTGGTGTGAGCGCTCCATCAGTGTCATGACGGGTACCAAAGATAGCTTCATCTCTTTTGACTTCACCTTTCTGAGTCTTTTTGTGTTTATACTCATAATTGTATTTTGAGTGCCACTCAAATATTTGATACAACCAGAGATGGGTAGAGAAAAATAACTACATTTGAGCTTATTCCATTTTATGAAGAAAACGGTAGTAACCTGAGAAGCTTACCAATAGACTCCTAAGTAACTATGAACAGAAAGCAGAAAGCTCAAGGGAGGACTTCATGTAGTAGGGGTGCTCAAGGTTTCAGTGTTCGGAGCGATTTTAAAGTTCTGGTGAAACAACTGGGGAAATCGTGCCACTGGGGTGCTGGAAGTGATTGTGGATCTGGTGCTTGAAAGAGAAGCCAGACCTGGAGCTATGTTTAGGAATCCGTACAAAAAGACAGGAGAGACTCAAGGGAAACAGTGTTAGGGAGCAGGAGGCAGGCAGTGAGGAGGCCGGCAGGCCCGAGAAGTGGCAGAGGAGTGAAGCTTTGCGAACAGAGGTGAGGAGTGAGGAGAGGACATGGCAAGGCCCAGAGACGCAGGGAAAGAGCAGAAAGACACCCTTGCCATAACCTCCAGCAGCAGGATCTGGGCTGCTGACAGAGAAGGAAGACAAACCCCAGGCGGGGCAGATGCCTCTGTGAAGTGGCTCATGAGCCAGATCCGGCCTGATGAGCGCCCCTCAGGTCCACGCCGCGGAGGCCCCTACCACACTGAGCCGCCGGGGCAGCGATTGCTGAGCATTTGATTCTGTTGCCTTCACATTCCATTGGTTCTGAGGCAGACCATCATTCATTTGGGATAATTTATGTCTTGGCTGGAAACAAAAATAAATTTGAATGATGAGCAGTTGAATTCCATAGGTACCAACACAGCTTTCGGAGACCTAGAATTTGCTTTGTTTTTTTTTCCCCTTAAGATAAAGCGTTGTAGGTAAAAAAAAAATAAAAAAAAATAAATTTTAAACAAGTATGTGTTTAGAAAACCTTATTTTACCAATTAATGAAAGCAAATTGTATATTTTTTTAAAATTTGGGAATTGGCCCAGTTTTTAATCTCAACTTTTGTGCCCCTCTGTCATTTTTTTTCTTTTAATAATATATTTTCCTTACTATAAAGAGCCCAATGGTTAGAAAACAAACCTACCAGTGCTTTTTCCTCTCAGTCTTTTTTTTTTTTTAATTTTTTAAGGAGAAAAGAACACGAACAAAATAAAACAAAGACAACCACAAGACAACACAAAAACTATAAAAAATGATACAGTTTCAAAACAAGATAATAGGAAATCAGCAATGCTTGTTGTATTACTTATTGTTATCTGCAAAGTAGTTGCTCACATTACCAGATATAGGCATGCAAGATTGATCAAACAGTTAATTAAACATTACTGTTCCTTTCAATAAACCAATAGAAATTAGTAGTTCAATTATCTTAGCTACTTTGTGTGTGTGTGAGCAGGAAAATAAATCACTAAAAGAAGTCAGTATAAGGCTATTTTTAACATTAGTGATGTTAACCTTGGCAATTTAAGGTTTTTTTTAAAAAAATAGAAAATTTCCATAACCTTTGGCAGGTTAATTATTCAGTTCTAGATATAACAGCTATGTGTAGTGATCACATAAACATTTGTTCTGTGAATATTTACTAATTGCCTCCTGGATATCGTAGCCACACCAGGCAGTGAAGGATACCATCCCCACTCCAGAGGAGCAGACACTCTTGTGGGGCGGGAAAGGCATCCCACTACAATTGCATGTCAGAGGCAGGGGCACTAGGGTGCAGTTCCTTTTGGGGTGGGAGCAGGGCTAGTGCCTGCCTCTCCTCACAGAAAAGGCCACTTGAGGGCAGGTGACAGATAATGTGGCTCTTGAAGTTTGCACAGGAAGTCAGACTAAAGGGAGGAAAGAGCAATCCAGGCAAGAGGAGTAAGTGCAAACTGCACATGGGCGAAGTAGATCATACCTATTCAAGTACAGTGAAAAATGTGGCATTCTGGGGCCTAGGGTCAGTGGGAGGAAGACAAGGACCAGAAAGATTGGCACTAGATTGGGAAGAACTCTCTATATACCCTAAGGTCTTAAGACCTGACCCTCCTGTGAGCTAACAGTGATCCTAGAAGGCGTCTAAGCAAGAAATGTGCATTCCACAAAGAGAGTTCCAGGAAAGTGTGTTGGTGGTGATGGTGGAGCAGCAAGTCCAGATCTCATACTGGCTACTTTGAGCAGTACCGTTCATTCATTCAGCAGCATTTTTGCATTCCATGTCTATTTGTCAGGTGCCTCTTACCCTGGCCTGTGCAGCTCTCAGAGTTCCCAGGAGGAAGGATGGTGAGAGGATGGAGAAATAAAGATAAGAGACAGAAAACTGAGGTCAAGTGGAGTCCTCTTTACAGAGGGGAGGAAAGAAATTGCCCAACCACCACAGTGTGTTTAGCTACACTCTCATGCGGTTGATGTCAGTTTTAACCTCTCTGCCTAGCTACTTTGCCTGGCTTGCCCGAGCACCTCTCATTCTCTGACTGGCCTTGCCTCACCCCTGCATGTGCGATCAGTTTCCAGCTTCAGTGGCTTCCTATCTCTCCCCCTTTTCTGTTCTGTAGTTGCAAGTAATGGGTGGTCAGTTGAAGTTGAAGGAGCTGCATTTGGAGGGCTCTGTAGAAGACCTTCTCATTCTCCAACACTTTATATTCGAAGTGAAATTACTCATTTAGGCTAAATATTCCCAGTCCAAGAATTTCAAGTCCCTACATTCAGCAATTTAGCCCTATACAGTCCATCAACCCGTAACCCACACAGTCAGTTCCCATTGTTGCTGGCAATTTTCAGTGTTAGGGATTTAAATTTTTTATATAGCTAGCATATTAGTATGGCACTGTTTTATACATCTTGTGGTTATACTTTTCTGTTGGATGTTCAAAAAACAAGTTAAGGCGAGACCTGTAATCAATGTTTTTGCTATCTAGCAAGGTCAGTTAAATCTCCTCAGGAATTACCTCAGAACCATGCACAGCCCCTCTTAGTACTTCAGTCAGTGTCAGCTTTCTGGATGAGTCACAACCATTGCTTGACCAAGCTGGTTTCTGTGAAAGCTTGGAAGATTTTATTTTTCCTGATGACTCTCCTTAGGCACACTCTACATTGTTGATCACTTTTCTCTGTTGTCCCCAAATCTCTTTGGTCAGAAGGCCAAGGACTCACTGAGATATAGGATGTCACAGCAGAGGTTCTCTTATGTCCTGTGTACAGGTATAGCTTTCACACCCATAATCCCAGCAATGGACCATCCATTGACCAATCACAAACTCTAGAAGCCCACCCCATGACTGCATGAGGCTTTAGGGGGACACCCAGACACACACCATAACAATGGAAATCATTGTGCAATGTTGAGTTTCTTTTTAAATTTATTTTAAAATTAAAAAAAGGAAAACATATTAACAAACAGACATCCATTTACAAAATAGCATAAGAACAATACAAGCAATACTGAATTACAGACAAATTGATAGGAAATAAACTTAGGGAATTGAAAATTCCAAAGAAGGTAATATTGATTTCTTTTTTTTTTTGGTATGGGGAATTGAATTCAGGACCTTGCACTTCCCAGGCAGACACTTCTGCCACTAAGCTATACCCCCAGCCTGTTAAGAGTTTTTTAAACAGAAAAGTAAAGGAAAGGTAAGGGAAGAGGAGGGGAGGGAAGGGCAATGAAGGGAGAGAAAGAGAGAGGAGAGGAAAAGAGAGACGATGTGTATGCTTGTGTATAGAAATGTGTGCTGCATTCTTGAGTCCTGTATTTACTTTCTTTTTGTGGATTTGGATTGGGAATCATCTTAATGCTCAAAAATTTGTTGGGACCACCACAAAGGATTCAGTTTGGAGCACTATTTTAAAATTAAATCCCAACTAAGGGCAGAAATTCTCTCCTTTTCAGCTAAGAGTTTTGCTGCATCACGGGTTGGGCTTCTGCTTCTCACGGAGTACAGCCATTTTCTCTCTCTCCCTTGTTGTTGGCACTAGGGTAAGCTTGCTGGGTGATGGAGTCCATGGAAGGTTTCCAACATGTCCACTCTGTTACTGAGGTATAAGTTCCCAATAATCCAGGACAGGTTATGCATCTTCATGAAGCTACACCCTTGGAGACATTGAAAGTGAATTATTCTGCATGACAGCCTAGAGTAGGGGAAGAAATCTGGTGCACTGCCCACCATGGTTGAGAGTGTTTAATTAGGAGCATTTGGGGAAAGGGTTAACTGCTTAGAATTGAGCTACAAAACAGTTACAGAACAACTATAATTCAGGGTTTCTGGTATCACCCTGAGTGGCTTGGTAGGAGATGTACACAAGAGACAGTCCTGGAGAGAGCATGGGCTAAATGTAGACCTCCATAAAATGTTTAAGTTCAGGGTGGGAAGGACACGGAGCCCCACTCTCTGTAGTGACAAGTCACACAACTGTGCTGCTTTCAGAGGGAACTGGGCCTGAAAGAGCTGACATTAAGTCCGGCAATCAGTTTGACTCTCCTCCCACCACATAAACACTGCCTACATCCAGGAAGACATCAATCAGTGGTCTGTTTGCTTTCTTTGTCTGTGAACTCGAGCAGAAATGCACCTTGTCTTGGACAGTTGTCACAACCTGGAGTGTATGGATGGAGGGACTTCTAGAGCAGGAGGTCACCTCATGAATCCACAGGTTGTGAAGCCAGGTGAAAGAACTGCAGACTTAGGGTGCATAATGGAGCAACAAAATTGAGAGCTATTGGAGTGACTACAGTCCTGAGGTGGAAATCATTGACCAACCACACTCAGCAGAATGGATGGAGCAGGGTTTAGTACTCACACACAAAAAATTGAGTGTGGAAACAAAATAGACCCTAGCAGTGACTCACTATACCTACGCAACACCTGGTATTTTCCAGTACTGTAGACTCTGGAAAGAAATCTCGTTCAGAAACATGGAGAATTATTTTTTTACTCTTTTTTCTCTCTTTTTTTCAAATTTTTTCTCCATTGTTTGTTTTGGGGAGGGGATTGAATTTTCTCTTTATTTTACTCTCTCACTTTTGCTTACCTTCTTGTTTCTTCTTTCTGTTACATTTATCTAATTCTATTAATTTTATTTTACTTCTTAATAGGCTCCTTTATTGAATTTTTCTCTCTTCCTTCTCATCTGTTCTTTATTTTTCAAATTTTACTTTTTTCATTCTCCCATTCCCCAATTCCTCCATCTTTGGTAGTGTTACTATTAAGCTTTATTAATCTTTATATTTTAGTTAATTCTATGCTGTTATTGAATTCTTTTCTATTATGGTGATACAGTTATTGAATTTAGTAGATATTTACTGTATGTCAAATTTGAGTCTGTCTGATTTATAATTATAAATCTCTTCCTATGGTTAAGGGTGATACAGTGGTAGCTTTCATTGTTTCTTATGATACATCAATATCCAGTTTGTCTCTGACTCTATTACTATTGCTGATTTTGTTGTTGTTCCAAGGTAGCTTAGTTGTTACTCTTAATTTGCTGTAACTATATGCCAGTATTTGGTTTGTCTTTGTGTCATCAACAATACATAGTTAATTTCCAGAGGACTGGATGGTAGGCCAATTACTTTGCATCCTTCCCTCGCCAATTAACAGGGGTGGCTATACCTTGGGACAAAGGCAAAAGCCTAGAGTTAGCCATGTCCAGAGTGCATCACTGAAAAACATACACTAACTAAAGAGATTTCCGTACTTGGAATAAAGTCTTACCACTATAATCAACCTACAAACCTCAGCCAAGTGTGGCTGTGCACACAAGAAATATTAGAAGGTAAGGCAAAAAAATGCCTCCAAAATTTCCCAGCTTCCCTAAAGCTGATTCATAGGACAGAAATCAAAAGACAAATAGCTGAATTATATAAAATAAAAAAGAGGAAAAAATACAGGTCAATAAGATGCTGAGCAAGCTCAAAGATGACATAACTATATAGGCAATGGATTTAGTAAACAAAACGAGCAATAAGCTTACAGCAGACACTAATGAAATATTAGCTCAACTAGAGAGTATAATAAAAACATGAGTGAACAATTTAGGAAAGAATTAGAATCTGTGAAAACATACTAAACAATGCAGGAAATGAAAAATTTCTATTGAAATATGGTCAGCAGAAATGACGAATGTGATCACACTGTTGGAATTAGAAGACAGGACACATGCAAGTGACCATATATTCAGAGATAACTTAAAAACAACAAAGAAATATGGAAAATGAATCACAAAACTACTAGATGATGCAAAAAAAGAGTAAGATTATTGGAATTAGTAAAAAAATCAGAAGGAAGCACAAATGATGTAAAAAAAACTGTATACATAAATAATAGGAAAATTTCCAAATATAGGAAAAGAATTTGACATGTACAAAAGCAAAGCACATAGAAACACAAATAACCATGATAAATAAAGAAATTCTCAGTAACATTGCATAGTCTAAATACCATAAGTCCAACATGAGGTCTGAATCTTAAAAGCTGTTAAAAAATAAATTTCTTTTAAAGATAAATATCAAAATTACAGCAGACTTCTCAACACAAACTTCAAAGGTCAGGAGAGCTTAGAGTGAAGTGATTTAAATCTTAAAAGAAAAGAACTGCCAATTAAAACATATATCCTGCAAAACTATCTTTGAAAATTGATGGAGGGCTGGGGATTTAGCTCAGCGGCAAAAGCGCCTGCCTGGCAAGCACAAGGTCGTGAGTTCGGTTCCCGGTACCGGAGAAAAACCAAAAGAAAAACCAAGAAAATTGATGGAAAAGCAGTTTTTCCATAGTAAAGCAGACATTAAGAAATTCATTACCAATAAAACAGTACTCAAAATTTTTTTTTCAAAGATCCCATAAAGAGACCACAGAGTCAGTGATGCCAAAAAATCTAGTGGAATGAAAATATCTCCCGGGTATTTCAAGGAGAAAAAAAAAATGAGAAATAGATAAACAAAGCAATGACAAGAATATCAATGTTTTAGTAATAACTCTATGTCCATGGGCTCAGGTCCCTGATTAGAAGAGATAGATTAGTAAATTGTATCAGAAGCAAAATCCAACAGTATTACATGTACAAGAAACACATTTAGTCCAAAATGAAATTCATACACTAAAAGGATAGAAAATAATATTCTGTGCAATGGGATTGCAGAAACAACAAAGGATAGCTATTGAAGTTTCAGACAAAGTAGATTTCAAGTGAAAATTGATTAGAAGAGGCACTATATATTGATTGAGGAAACAGTTCAACAGGAAGAGATAAGAATTATAAATATGTATCTAACATACAGCAGTGTACCCAACTTCATAAAATAAACACTACTAGACATAAAGATCAGATCAACATCAACACAATCATAGTACAGAACCTCAATACCCCACTATCATGAATAGATCAATTAGAGGGCAAAAAAGTTAGAGTTAACCCACACATTTGAACAAATGCACTCAATAGACATCTTTAGTGTTTCACCAAACAACAGAATACATGTTCTTCTCAGTCACACACATGCAACTTTTTCCAAAATAGACCACACACAAGCCTATAAAGCATGCTAAAGTAAAGGAAAAGAACCAAAGTAATCCCATGCATATTGTTAGATTATCCACATGGACTTGGTAATTCTTCTCCTTGCTTGAAGATTATGGAAAAATATCAACTAAGGTAAATAACTTATGATACAATTCTTCTTTACCTTTGGATTTGTCCTCATCTTGCCTTTTGTTATGAAGACTACCAACTTGGGAATAAACTAAGTGTGACCTAACTAAGGAAGTCTTGGGTCTGCAAAGGAAGGGAAGGGCTACATGCCAACAGAGCTGTGTAACCTGGATGGCATAGACCAGCTGGAATTAGTACAGCATTCCTGGGAGAGGATCTTTATTCAGGTGCTTTATTCAGGGGAGTTAGGTGAAATGTAAAGCTGCAAATTGGAGAGTTTGTGAAAATGTGAGCAAAACAGGATTTAGTATTCAGACAAGGGCTTCACAATTCTGCTCTTATTAATCTGCTGCTAGAAAGGCCTCTGGCATTACGTGAAAAAGCAATGGCCCACACTAAAAGATGCATGGCATGAAGAAAAGGATGAAAAAGCACAGAAAAGTAAGCCATATGAACCTAGGAGAGAACCCAGCTGACAAGTTCCTTGGGAGGTTGCTATGGACTAAATTTTGTCCCGTCCAAAGTCATTTGCTGAAGAACTGACCACACATTATGCTTTGATACAAAATGATCTGCAAAACTCTCATGCATTCAGTGGTGAGCTTTGGAAGGCTCTTGGATGGTGGGGCATTACATTCTTCAGGAGATTCAGCCATTGATGAGTTCCTGGCTGGATGTGCTGCTCGGAGGTGGGGCTTAGTTTGGAAGTGGATCAGAGGGAGTTGACGGGTGTACTCTGATCTCTGGCTGCTCCCCGTTCTCTGTTTGCTTCTTTGCTGCTATGGGATGAGCAACCTTCCTCCACCACACCCTTCCACCATGCCATTTCTGCCTTGGAGCCAACAATCATACACTGAACCCACTGGGAAGTGTGATCCAGACAAACCTCTCATCCTTCAAGTTGTGGGTGTTGGGTATTGTGTCCAGCAAGAGGAAAGCTAATACACAACCCTTCCCCTTGTGACATTTGGAGATAAGGCATTTAGTAAGAACTTTTGAGTAAATATGCCTTGTTTTCAGTGCTTGTGGAGAATGAGAACAACCAGAGGCAGATCTTCTGGAGTAAAGGACACTGAAGGGGGCTAAGCCACACCCTGGATCTAATGGAAATTACTAAGGTTGAGAAGAAACACAAACTGACCCTATCAGATGAGGTATATTCTATAACAGTGAGAGGTAAAGTAAAGCAATGTCATAGTTTAAATTTTGTAGGGACCTAGATGTCTCCAGAGTCAGGTTAGGGGCAGTAACATAATCATGGAGAGTTAGATCTTCAGCCTTGAGGAAAGAATGCCTCACAGACACCAAGTATTATGAAAACCAATGGTTATCTGTCTCCCAATCAATGGGGAAGTGATAAAGAAGAGTGACAGGAGACAGATATCTGCTTGGGAAGATAGCTAGGAATGGTCTTAGTAGTGGGAGAAATCCAATAAATGCTAGAATTATATACATGTATATTTTCAAATCTACACCTATATTCCAATATGCATCTCACATGTGCCTCTGCATAATTTAAATACTATGAAGAATATATAACATTTGACATTTTCTAACAGGTAAGCACAGTAGTAAGCCTAATCCTCAGTGGAACTGCTGTATCATCATCATGAGGGAGATCTAGTGATGCGGCACCCTTAGACACATAAAAGGCTTCCCTTTGTTTAACTGACATCATGTGTGCTCTATTTGGGTATGAAGTATAAGACAGAAAAGTACAAGTTAATGATGGAATTTCCATCAGAGAAAAGATAACCATCAACTTAATCACTGGGTTTTAGCAGTGCCACTGTGCCAGAATTCTGGGTGGGTCCCAGAACTCTATGGATGTCATGAATAGGTCATAGACCACTGCCAAAGCTTCTGTCACAACTGATACAAACTTCAGTGTGGACTGAGCACTAATTATTCTGGAATATGTCCTAGTGAGCAGACAGTCTCCTTGGTTATTTTTGGTTATATAAATTTCATTCTTTATCATCAACAACTAACTTTTCAAGTTATAGTTAAAATAGAAACTAACTTAACTTAACTATCAAGTTAAGATAGTTAAGATAGAAACTAACTCACCTGATATCAGCAATTGTCTGGAGTTGAACAATGAAACATAAAAGAAAGCAGAAACACCTTGAACCCTCACTGTTAGGGCCACCTGAAAAGAGAGCCAGAGGTAAGTGTTAGCATATTGTGGGAATAGAGGATCAAGAACTGGCTTTTAAACAGGGAAAAGAGGATTTCTAGTTTGTGGTGCAGTAACAGAGAAAAGAGAAAGAGAGAGAAAGGTGATTGAAGGGGAGAAATGTGCGCACTTGTGTGTGTGTGAGAGAGAGAGAGAATGAGAGAGAGAGAGAGAGAGAGAGAGAGAGAGAGAGAGAGAGTGTGTGTGTGTGTGTGTGTATTCCTGACAGGAGGTAGTCTGAGAGTGAAGAAAAGGTTGAGATGACCCAGGTCTTTTCTCTCTGGCCTAATGCCTAGATTAGCTATACAGTGTCACTCTGGGTTTCTGGGTTATAGGTGTAGTATAGACTAATATTTCCTTTTAAAGTAAATTTTCTGTCATTTGATTTCTTCCAAAGGCACACCAGATGTAAATGATGTTATAAATATCCTAACAGAATTTTTTTTTACTTTTGGTGAAAAAGAAACTGTGCCTTACAGAAGCCAAGAAAATATTTTTAAAAATACTTTAAACACTGATGTATGCAGAAATAAGTATAAAGTCAGAAAGTCTTTACTTTGGCAGAGTAAAAGCTATTTTATTTTTTTGTTTTAGACTATGAACATGTTCGTGCAGGGCTCCTATGTGAAATGTGAGAAAAAACAGGACATGCATGTACACAAATACACCAGCTCACATAAGCACAAACACTATTTAATTATGAACAGTGAATTAAGATGATGAGATAGCCCCTCATGGAAAATTGGAAATTAAACATTTGTGGTTATTTTGGAGATTGACAGCAAACAATTAACTCCTAGGAAGCAGGACCACAGCTCAGAGGTGGGAGGAGGAAAGATTGGAGCAGAGCCCAACATTCCAAAGAGTGGTTCACCTCCAAGAATAGTCTGACACTTCCAGCAAAGTTTGAGGCCTACGTGTTTTCCTGCAGTTCCTGGTGTGGAGTGGCCTAGAACATGAAGTCAGCATCAGTCCACCTTCAATACAATGAGTACACATTCAAAGATGTCAGTGATTAGGAATTGTGAAATATCTAAAGCACATGCTCATGCTTACTCATTCCACACACCAAAAAACAAAACAAAATAGACCAAACAAAATAGGGTAGCTAAATATTACCATCAAGCATAATCATCCCCTTACTGTCTACCAAATCAGATGGTCTCTCAACATACCTCACAGATTAAAAAGGACCAAGGTAGAGAAACTGGTACATGATGGGCTACATCTTCCATGTGCATGAGCTCAGCACATGCTGTCAGTAGGACAACTCACAGGCTGAGGTGGAAGAAAACACTGTTATCATTGACACAGAGCAATGAAGGAGACCTAGGGTTATCAACATTCCATTCCACCACAAAAGGAAAGTTCTCAGAGAGGTGTAGAGGTTTCTATGGTCATGGAAGTGGCACATGCCACTTCTACTCAATTTCCTTTGTAGGAAACATAATCACACAATCACGGTTAAATACAAAGCAGCTCAGTTAAGAACAGCACAGTGGTTTGGACAAGCTGAAAGATGGGAGCCAGCATATAGAGTGATCTGACAGAGTCAACATTATTTCCTACATTGCACATTTAGTGATAGAAGCCATACTACTTATCTATTTACACATGTTCACTGAACATGTCAAATAGTAGACTCATATTACTTCCTTAAGCAGAGAGAAATATCCAGAGCTATGAACCATGTCTCTCACTTTATTTTTCAGAACAGTTAGATTTTCAAGATGATCTGCAGGGGAGAAATGATGAAGTGGCCCTAACTCAAAACCAGGAAGAGACCTTTACTGGTTCCTCAAATCACCTCTCTTGTGAAGACAAATCCTTCTGTGCAGGTATGAAGTAAAGATTAAATAAGGTACAGAAAGTAAGCAAGGGTCTAGGTATCCCAGAATTGAGTTAGATGGCTCTGCCAATCAGTTGATTCAAGGCTTCCCAGAAAGAAATTGAAAATGCTCTTCCACCTAGTTTTACACAAGCAGCAGTAATAACCTGCAGTGGAAACAATAAATACCAAAAGGAAAACCCAAGGGAGAACTGCAAAACCAGTGGAGTACTGGGTTCTGCTCAGGAAATGGTGGGAGAGTTACTGAGGAGATGAGAGAGTGATCAGAGACACACAGGGGCGGCAGGTCAGTCTGAGCCAGCGTCGAGGATGGCAGGGCACAAGAAGTGCCCCTGAGATAGGATATAAATACCCAATCCAAGAACACATCACATCTATAGGTTTTTAGAGCCAGTGTTCTCAGACATATTGCCACACACACCAGTCTGCAGTCGCTATCCCCACCTCTCACTGCCTTATACTATTCCAGATGCATCTGAATTCCTTAGACTCGGTTTTTATTTTTCCTTGGTTTTTATCAAAACCATGCTAACCACTCTGACTTCCTGAGGACACCACATTCATTATCTCTGGGTTTTTTGTTTATTTGTCAGTTTTGTAAGCTTTGTGAGAGTAGAAGTGCAGATTGCATACTTAGAGTCTGGTTCCTTTTAGCTCACGTTTATATATATATGGGTGTTATGCTGCAGATGACTGTTATTTGTTCATTCTCATTATTGCATATATTCCATTGCATGAATAAAAATAATTGATTAACTGATTATACTTTGCTGAATATTAGGATTGTCTTCATTATGGAGCAAGTAAGATGACACTTTGAATATTCCGTTGCCTATATTTTGATACCCTAACATATTTTTGCTTAGTAAAATTGATTCTATATTTCTATATTAACCAAACAGAATACAATATCTCTTTTCATTGTTCTACTTCATTATTAGCCACTTAATCTTATACTCTCTACTCTGTACTCCTATGTTTTAGAGCTTCACATGGTTCTGTTTTTTAAAAATTTATTAGTATTTGTATATAATCCATACTGAATACATACATTGTAGAGAGTTTGTATGTACATATATTACTTTTTAATTCTTTTTACATCCCCTTGCTTCCTCTTTCCCTCCAACCCTAGAACCTTTACTTTCATGTTCTCGATCATTTTTACTTTGTTCCTTAAATCCTAGGCTTGAGTCAGGGAGCAGAAGAGAAGTCCACCAACTTAGAGCATTGCTCAAAGGTCTCTCCTGCGGGCCAGTGCAGCGCTGTGAAGCAGGAAGGTAAGGCAAACGCGAAGGCGACCTGAGCACCCCTGAGCTGTTTGTCCAAAGCCTACTTGCCTCACTTTCCCTTCATGTACAGCAGAGGGCCTCAGCGGGGAGAGAATCTGGGGGAGGGACACATAGGAAATACACCTTGAAGAACAGAACAACGTTCCTCAGTACAAGTTTCCCGGGGAACACTGGGACAGGTGTGGGTGAGGCAGTGGATCCTGCAGAGATGTGAAGGGGAAATGCCCAGCATCTGTCCATCAGGTCGGCATCAAATCAGCCTCACACACTCACATGTCACACTGCTTTATGCTCAGGAGGAGCCTGTTACTTCTTTCCTTCTTCATTCATTTTATGTCCAATTCCTTATCAGCATTACATAGGCACAACCTTACACCCTCATCTTTGCACATAGCCATTCTCAATCCACCACTTTACACCTGAATTCCATGAAAAGCTACATATGATCTCATGTGGATAACCTATGTTAGCTCTGCATGCTACATACAACACAAGAACACTCGGATGCCCTTTAATATGAATATTTTCTTGGTGAATCATCACTTAATTTGCCATGCTTTCAGCCCTTCATAGAGCTGCATGTTCTGAGGCCATGAACATTTCCTCCAGCACATGTGGCTCCCTGTAGCACACACAGCTTACTGTCACACCATCTAACAATCACACAGTGGATCACAGGCACTGTTATTCACATCATATTCCACACACATATAATTCCATTCATTACTATTTACTTTTTCAGTAGCAGATTCACCACTACATTCACCAGATATGTACCAGAATATATACAGTGGTGGGGTTGGGGCTGGGGTTGGGTTTGGGAGGGTGGGGGGAATGTGGAGAGTTAGAGCTAGAGATGATCTATCTCCAGAAGACACACCACAACTCATTTTCATCATACCATGCCAAGTATGCACTTCAAGTAACATTCCACACAAGCATTCCCAGAGATATTCTGTTGGCCATCTTATCTCCTTATTTTTGAAATCAATTTCCTTAATATATTTCAGGTGTTGGATCCTCTGAGATGCTTTTATATCAAGACAGGATGGAGAGGGAGACATTCTTTTTTAATTCACGTTCCCTTTCACCTTGGTCCTTTGCTAGTAGCTCACCATCATCCTTGGAATCTTCTGAAGAGAAACAACTCATGAATATTTACTACATGCATGTCCCAAAGAAAAGGGGTGCAGCAGTTTTAGGGGATGCAGAAGAAGACTCAGAGCCACCTCAAAAGAGGATAAGGATAGCAAGAATTAACATTCCTAGCAAGCTGCTTCCAAAACTCAGCCTCTCTTATATGAGGGACATCTTAAGTGATAGTGAGGAGAGCTCCACCAGTGAAGTCCAGGAGCAAAGGGCAGAGGCTGAGAGTCCATCAAGGCCTGGGAATCAGGACACAGGGGGCAGCGTCCAAGTCCCAGAAGAGCCAGTGGACCTGCAGGGTGGCTTCAAGTGTATGGGCTGCCATCAGCTCTTCGCCAACGTGGAATCGCTGAAGAAGCACGTGGAGCAAGCGGGCGAGGAGGCTATCGCCTGCCTAAATTTTCACCTCACATTCGCCAAACTAATGCACAAAAGGAAAAAAAGGAAGACCCTAAGGAGGCAGAACAGTGAGTCAGACGAAACATCTGGGGGCTCTCGGAGGGCTCTTTTGCGGTTTTTGGTATTTCATCTTCTGATATTTTGGATAGTTCTTTTTTTTATTATTTTATCAACTAGAAATGACATCACTCCTATTTCTTGATGCAAACAAGAGGCAATCATGTATGAGGGCACCAGGAAACTTTTTTGTTTAATCCAAAAAACAGTCCCAGGGAGACTAAGAAGACACCTGATCATTGAAGATATGAAACCACGTCCAAAGTTCAACCAGAAAAACACAGACACTATGTTCTTGCTCATGTAAGACCCAATTTCTACCTTGGTGCCTGGGTGCTAAATGCAGCTGAGCAATTTCAGTTCAGCTGCAAGACAAACATTTCAAGAGGAGAAAATGCTCACAAGGAAACACTCTTTCCACCTCCTAAAATAGAAGAATAACGCCAGTGCAAATTCCTCGACAGCTTCTCTATATTTTTATTTTAGTTTGAAAATGGCTCATAATCTCACCGCACAGCCCAGAATTGCATTCATTCAACTTAATACTAGCCATGTGCAACATCCACAAATACACACATGAGACAAAAAATGCCAAAACATACAAAACTTCAGCAGTACAGATTGTAATGCCCTATCTCTCCTGCATTCACCCTACCACACACTCATTTTCCTCAGGAAGTTCTTTGGTAATACTTTAAATTGTATCTTCTATTATAAGTTTATCATTATTAACACTGAAACTGCCAGAAGGCATTTGGGACCCCTACGTAAGTGCGTATTTAGTTATCTTTCAACAAATTCATTTATCAGTTATTCTGCCCTCTGTTACCTATTTATGTGAGGATTGTCTGTGCGAGTGCACTTACACATACAAACAGGAGACAAAGCAGGGTTACAGGTACCTTACCTGCCTAGTACTTTCTGTTTTCTTCATGGGGAGGAGTCTCCTCCATCTCACCCACCTGTGGGCAAGTGAGTGCCAACCAAATGAAGCCCTTACTGCACTGTTTGACTTGGTGACTGACCTATCTATGCATGTCGGGCAATGTAGGGATAGGTTGGAAAATTTAAAGAGAAGACATAGAGATGTTGACTTTCAGCTGTGAACAATCTTGTGTTCTGTGCCACCCCCTCTGGACCACTGTTGCAACTCTACATGAGGTCTGTAGTCCTCAAAAGCTGGTCTTTCTTCATCATTCTTTAAAATACCTGCTTCAACTGTTACTTAATTCACTGAGCATCTCCTCTAAAATCTTCAATAAAGTTCTGCTTTGCCTCTAATATTTTGAGTTACTGCCATCACCTGTTTTACCTTATTTGATGCATCTCAGCTTTAGCATGATATTTTCTTGTACTTTAACAAATTGAAATGAAAAATCCCGTGAAGGAGTGCCATATTATAATCTTCATACTCTGTAATAAAGCAATGAGGTTATATTGAACCTCAGGAGAGAGGACACATTCTTCTTTAATTAGGTAGATGCATGAAGAATTTTGGAGGCAAAAACAAATTCTTCAATACCATAAATCTGTGAGCTTAAATCCCTTCCTGCCATTAACCATCTCATAGTCTTTCTGAATTAGCTGTCATGTCTTAGAAATGGAAAGTACAATACTTCAAGTGATAGTATCTGCAAAGGTAACAAGGCACAGGTAAAAGAGGTGAGATGATAAAAATAAGCCTTGGTCTGAGGATGCTTTTTCTTCTGGCAGTCAGCAGGGATCTGGTGTTGCTGACAGCTGTCACACTCCTAGCCCTCAGTGTGCTGAGGGTGGCCCTGGATAATTATCCGCAGACTTTCCTGCCTATCTCTGTGGCTTCTAGAACAGATTTTCAGCCCAATTCCCCACAGCTGCTGTGTCCTCCACTGCACCACCCCCTCTGGACAACTGTTGCTACCTTTCTGAGGAGTGGTGGAAGGCCTCACCCTTGTGGGGCAAAGATTGAAGAGGACCCAGAGCACACTACTGATACCTCCAAATCCATAAAGCCCACTAGGCTGTATTCACCTCTGCCCTTCCACCAGGAGACTATTGACAGCAGGACAGTCACCATTACGGCCCTGCTATATTTGCAGAAAGGGTGGGGCTGTCATGCAGCTGCTTCTAACGTTGAGCTGAACGGTCAGTATGACAGCGATAGTTCTCCTCCATTCCCGAAGACCATCTCATCAAACCCGTTCCCTTCCTTACTGTAGACGGGTTTGGAAGTTCAGCCTGTTTGCTAGTACAATGTTGCCCAAATGTGTCCTCATATTGCTAAATAAAACTAATACCATTTGCAGTGGCTTCAACGGTGCCCTCTCAAAAGACATGCCGAAGTGCTAAATCTTGATACTTGTGACTATGATCTTGTTGCTATGAAGTGAAGGAAGAAGTGGTCAAGCTGGATTAGGTGGGTCCTAAGCCCAGTGATTGGTGTTTTCATAAGAGAAAGAGAAGGGAGACTTGAACACAAAGACATAGATGCACAGGGATAAAGGCAATATTTCAATGAAGGCAAAGGTTGCAGTGAAGCTGCTCCAGGCCGAACAGCCCCAGGGACTGCTAGCCACCACTAGAAGATGAGCTAGGCAAGAAAGGGTTCTGCAGAAGGAGGAAAGCCCTGCTGAAAGTGTGATTTCAGACATCCACACATCAGCATGGTACAAGAATAAATTTATGTTCTTTTAAGTCACCCAGTTTGGAGAAATTGTTACAACAGCACTGGAAAATTAAAACATATATTAAATGGCACTTTTTTTTTTTCAGTCTCCAGAATCTGTACCCATTTTTCCTGGAAAAAGTTTTGCATCAAGAACAAAAATTTCTAGGCAACAGCACAGCTTCAAAGGTGTGAAAATTAGTAGTGATAGGAGTAAAGGAGTGGGGAAAGGGGAAACAAAAGAAGGCATCAGAGGAGATGAAGCCAAAGAGAAACCACACAGGCAACTGTGGGCATCAGCAGGGAAAAAGCTGGCGGCATTGGCCAGCTTCAGCTTCCAGCTGTGTGAAACCGGGTGGGGTTGACATTCACAGCTGCTGCAGAACACAAGTGTCAAGAAGCCAGCCTGTTTAAGACAACTGCAATAGCTGTGCAAGGTCAAGCTGAGGGCCAGAACTGGAAATGTGCATGTCATGTCATGTTCCTGCTAGTTATTTGATCATTCCTTCCACCCTGTCTCATGGGAGCTCTGGTTTACACACTTGCATAGGGCTAGTTAGGCAGGCAGCTGGCATTTCTACCTGGATCATTCCTGGGAAGTTGCACTTCCTGTGAATTTACAGCATCAATTGGTAACCAACCTTCAATCAGCCACCAATGCATCACCCTCCTTGTGTAGCACCTCTGGGCAGTTGGATTATTCCCTTCTTCCTACCTCTTATACCCTAAAGTTGGAGTCCAATCCCCAAGTATAGGGCAAAGTGAATGGAGCAGCTGTGTGGAAGTACCAATGGTCACTCACAGGCAAGTGCAGAGGACTAGTATATTATCTGCTACTGCAAACAGCTGTGGCTCCCTCCTCCTACCTTAGATGAGGGGTGAAAACTACGGACCACTCGCAGTTTAAGAAAACTTTTAATCTGTACATGGCTATTTTTTAAAGACATTAGGCTAGCAGATGAATCTAGAATATTATTCAGGAATTGTTTTTAGGGTCTCTTTCTGTGCAGGTCTTTGAACTAAACCTGTGGGATTTTCAAATCTGAGATCCCATCTGTTAGATGTACATAACTTATTGTGGAAGAAGGAATCTTGTGAATCTTTCAATGCGGAGGTGGATCAAGGGGTAGACTGTGGGCAAGGAGCAGGCAGGTAGAGAACAGATCAATCAGACTCAGGTGGGATTTGAAGGCCCATTCTGTGCCCGCTGCTGTGGAGACGAATCGGTAAGAAACGTAAGTAAGGGTTCTCCCTCAGGGAGACCACAGTCAAAACGTGTTCAGTATATGCATCCAATACCTGGCAACTTCTTTTCTACCTCCTTTCTACACCCACTTCCTTGCCCTTGACCTCTATGTCTTTTTTAACAAGTTTTTAAAAATTTGAGATGGGGTTTTCCTGTAACCCAGGCTGGTCTGGAACTTGTCAGTTTAACTGATCCTGCTATCTCTACCTCCTCCACAACTGGGACTACAGGTAAGACACCCAGAAACTGTAGGTTGTTTGTTTGCTTGCTTGCTTCTTTCTCATAGTTACCATCACTCTGAAACAATTTTGCTCATTTATTTGGTTATTTGTTAATTGTTTTATTTCACCACCAGAAATTGAGCTCCCTGAGAACTTGGCCTGCACCATCACCAACCCCTAGAATGGTTCCTAGCAGCTCACAGTTGCTCTATGAATGTTTGTTGACTGAATGATATACAGTCCAACAGAAGTGGGAGGAGCCAGTCATTACAGGGCTGAAGAACATGGGCCCTGGGTCCAGACCACCTGGGTTCACACACAAGCTCTTCCACTTACTCAGGTTGACTTTGAAGTAATGGGTCTACCTTTCCCAGTTTCTCCAAGTCTGAACTGGGGATTCTAAAACTGCCACTGTTAGGAAGGTTCGTAAGTTAATGTACAAAAATGTCCCTAAAGTAGGGGTTATAAAAATTTTCTTAAAGAACCAGATGCTAAATATTTTAGGATTTTCAAGCCATCTAATCTCTTACAATGACTCAATTCTGCCTATGTAGCACAAAGTAAAACAGCCACAGAGGTTGCATAAGTACAGGAGTGTGGCCCTCTTCCAATTACAACATTAAGGATTACAGCACAACATATGACATAACATTAAGGAATTTAAACACAAAACAATAACCTATTATCGGGAAGTCTTGTGTGTTGGATCACTCAAATTCATTTTTCATTTCCATTTCATCCATTTCCTTTTCATTTCACCTCCCCACTTTGCACATGCTGGTTTTTCCTCTGTGAACTGACTGATGTCTGCCCCACAGAGAGCTTCAAGCAACTTCCTCAGGGCTCTGTTGAGAAGACCAACCCTAGTGTGGTTTCTGTCAACCCCTAGGCTCTTGTGTAAGTTTACAACCGGACTTGGACACCACAGAGTTTGTGGTATGAGTGAGAGGCTGTGGTTAGAGAGGAGGCGAAAGCAAGTTTGAAGTCTCTGATCCACACTTTAGTCACCTGTTTAGAGAAGGTGAAAACTACTGTCCTGCCTTGCTGGGTGATTGTTTGGCAATCACACAAGGCAAAAGACAAGAGAAGTACAAATGCACTGTTTACAAAGTAATGCAAAATGCTCCTCTAATAGGATTCCATGCTGCTATTTGAATCCAAGGTTACCATGCAGTAGGTAACAATATTATTTACTCATTTTACAGATAAGGAAGCCAGAGACTTATGACTCATCTGGGGTCACACTGCTGATAAATTGAAGACTTAAATTTGAACCCAGACAATTTTTATTCTAGTAAAAATTTCTTAACAAGAGCTCAGCCCATCTCCCCACATGTTGAACACAAACATTACACTACAGAGTTTCTTGGGATTTTTTTTTCTTTCCCTTCCTTACATGTAAGTATCTCATTTCCCTGGGCACAGCCCATACCAAAGTACGTCCTAAATGAACAAAGTCTGTTGTGGAGACAGGTTTAGCTAGGGTAGGTAGAGGATGAAAGGCAGGGCGAATTTTCTGAAAAGTGAACTGGAGTGGCTGACTGTCAAACTTCCTTTCCTTTTCATTTCATCTCCCCACCTTGCACGTGCTGGTTTTTCCTCTGTGAACTGATTGATGTCCGCCCCACAGAGAGCCTCAAGCAACTTCCTCAGGGCTCTGTTAAGAAGACCTGCCCGAGTGTGGTTTCTGTCAACTCCTAGGCTCTTGTGTAAGTTTACAACACAACTTGGACACCAGAGAGGTTGTGGTACGAGTGAGAGGTTGTGGTTACAGAGGAGGGGAAAGCAAGTTTGAAGGAGTTTTAAATGGGAGACCTTTGTGCAAGAAAGGACACAACAATTTTACTGATGTCATTCTCCATTTGCCCACTGTTACAAGCAGCACACAAGGACCACACAGTGCTCTTTGCCCTCTAAACTTGCCCCGCCCACTGTGCTTGGCTTTGGGCTACAGCGAAGGATGTCCTAAACATTCATTGCCTCTATACCTGCAGGAAGATTGTTAAAGATATGGCTCAATAAACCACACAAGAAAAGCTCTTCCAAGGTGACTAAAGAAGTTACCTTCTTCACTTGCACTCTTTCTTTTTCTTTTTACAGTATTAGGGCTTGTGCCACATCTAGAGATGAGACCTGCTAACATCTCCCCTCTTTTTTGTCCCCAATCCAC